TTCATCACATTATCAACAAACTACAAGCATAGTTATACTACATACTGCGTTAAACTAGTACTAGGGGGTCGGATCTGACGGCGGCGAGGTCGCGGCAACTGGACGACGCCGTGGAGGAGCCGAACGCTCAATCCTCCTCGCCGGAGTTGCACAGATCGACATACTTCTCCGCCTGCTCCGCGCGGATGCGGCCCCACTCGTCAGCCTTCTCGTTGGCGGCGACGTTGTCGGCGACCGCCTGCCGCCACTCGAGGGCTTCGAGCTCCTCGGCGTGGCACCGGCGCTCCTCCTTCTCGCGCATGCTCCGCTCGGCGACAGCGGCGGCGACCGCGTCGAAGTCCGTGACGTAGTCCTCGGGCCCGACGACTCCGCGGCGGCCGAGCGGAGCGGGCTCCTCGAGCTCCTCCTTCACCGGGACGAAGGCGAACAACATGGGCGGCTCCAGTTCCTCCTCCTCTCCCGACCACTCCCTCTTTGTGGGGAGGAAGCCCGCGGCGGAGGACGAGGAGGATCCGACGTAGGAAGACCTCGCGGAGGAGAAGGACGCGCGCCGACAGTCGTACTCCTCCGTTTCGCGGCGGTTGAAGCTCGCCGATGGCGACATCCTGTGGTTGGTCCACTTTCGGGCACCGCGCTTCCTCGCGTCGTCGGACCGGACGCGCCGCTCGCGCTCCGGGTCCCTCTCACGGCCGGATCTGCTGCCGGAGCCGCGTCCGGAGCTCCACATTCGCCCCCACATGGCGGCTGGAGGCGGGGCGGGTGGTCGCCGGCAGCGAGAAATTGGGAAAGGGGAAAGGGGAATCGGGCGGCTCGCGACGACGGGGGAATAGGGTTTGGACCCGCAAAAGGGTCGCGGAACCGCACTTATAGTGCTCGGGGCGTGTGATTTGCGGGCTACAGCATAATTTTTTACGGGCCAGGCAAGTATGCGGGCTCTGTTCTGGCCGGAAAATTGGTCCGAGCCCGTATACTCGCCGGAATTTTTGCGGGCCAGGTGTTTTACGGGGTCTACTAGAGTTGCTCTTAGTCTAGTTGTCGCATGTTTGCGTCAGCCTCATGTTATTTATGTTTCACTTAGATGCCCGGCCCGAGCGGAATTTTAAATAAGATGAGGCCGAACTTCTTTTGGTTTTGAAGGAAATGAACATGTGGAACAAACTATTCCCACCCACCCAGAGTTAACATGGCAGACCCGAAGTGGAACCTCTAGCTAGGATGGCTAGCTCGCCAACTATGGTGCAACAAATGGTCGTTGAACTGTACTGTGTTGAAAGTATGTACGTACTATATACTCGGCACATCGATCTTGGCTAACTTGAAGAAGGAAAGTCACTGGCTGATACAACTCACACATTGCAGAAACAACGGAGTGCAGCGATTCGGTGCCAGGCTCATCTGCACCCGGTAAAAAAAAATTCAAAAAATTATTTTTTTAAAATTATTTTTTCTCATGGTAGAAAAATTATTGCGTGTGGTTCGCTCCAAATATTAGCTCATTTGAATATCTGAGTAGCTCTCAGCAAAAAGACAAATCGGGTCAAAAAAGTATATGAACAGTAAACTGTTTTACAGAACCTGAATTTGTCTTTTTTGCCGAGAGTTGCTTATTCGTCCAAATGATTTGAAAATTGAGGCGGACCTCATGCATCAAATTGTCTATCATGAGAATTTTTTTTGGAATTTTTTGAATTTTTGTAGTATTTATTTTGATTTTTTATTAAATACGGATGCAGATGACCCGGGCTCAGAAAAGGATTTCTGACAACAATGGTCATACTATATCTATCCGGCCTAATCATTAATGTAGCAAGAGATCTGGATGGTTCCTTTTAGATCCTACGGGCCAGAGTGGTCAAACTCAGGCTACTGTAGCGCGCTGACTTAAAAGTGACCAAGTCCAGTCCGGCCATATATCTGATCTGATCTGCATCACACGAATGCATGCAGCTCTCTATCACATCTCGTTGCATCATCTCCATCTCCGGCTCAGGCCAAGTGGAGCGTGGCATTTGAAGAGGACGCACCGTCTCCGTCCGTCGCTCCGGTGGCTGATGGCGCTCAGAGACCATTATAGATTTATAGTGCCGGATAAATGCGTGCATGAAACACGTGCTCCGCCGCGCCGCGCAAAGTCAGAGCCAGCCAGCCAATTTCAAAAGGAGATTTTCTTTTTGTTAGAAGAGATTGAAATGTGTTGTACGATGGCTGGCGTACTGCGCGTGTTAATTAGTGAGCGCAGTGAATGCATGTACACATACGTTACTGCTCCTACGCAGGTCAGCAACGACTTCGGTGGCAAGCATGAGTGCATGACGCTCCATCGTCGTCGTCCGATCCAAATTTGGTTGAAGCCCAACGACGGATCCAGGGTCAGCTCTTTAGGATGTATCAGGCATGCATATACTACCTCGGCTGCTAAGTCGTAAATATATGGTCTTCTAGACCACGTGACACATGTGGTAAGCAATTCAAACTATTAAAAAAAAGAAAAAAACACATGGCCCACTAGCCAGAAACAACACAGTAAAAGGAATTTCTAAGGACATGTAAAATGATGTTATCTTATGAGTATTTTGTGGGATAATTGTTGCGGTGGATGAGAGAAAAATCATAAGATAATGCCCTCATTTAATTAAGCGATGGTCTCTAAGCACAACTAGATCATATCCCCCGCGTTTCTGCTGGAATCTTAATAAAATAAATGCATAAATATATGCTAAAAACTAAAAGTATTGGAAAACAAATTTAAGATTGCCCTAAAAACTAAAAGTATTGGAAACCAAATTTAAGATTGCCCCCGGTTTACATTTTTTTTAAAAGAAGCAGGTGATGAAATGTTGTATAAAAAGAGAAAAAAAAGCTGGATCGAAGTCAACGGGGTGCCTACATAAAAAGTATGTAAGATGACCAACATATATTTGCTCCAAGCCGACATGCCTATGCCCACACAAAAATTAGTGAAACAAATTGACATGCATGATTGTTAAGGTCGCATGATTGCGTGAATAGATTAGTGTACAAATTATAACTTATGACCACATGCATGACTTGATGATGTGGCATAGTTGTATGAAGTGGGAAAATAGGTAGTGGGTTGCAACTATTTAAGAATGGAGGATATGTCCCACCACATATTTAGGCATAGCTAGTTATTTGTAGATAAAAGGAAGAGACAACCCACTATACACACATTTTTATTGTCATCTCTAAATTACGTGAAAACTTCAGATATAATTGTCTACCAATCACAGTATATACCCCAAACTTAATTGTTTTATATATCAAAGAATTTCTATTTCTTAAGGTATAAGAAATGCTTAGGTTTGTGAAGAACTTTGCCACTTCGACGTGATGAGAGGGACCAAATACTCGGAATGCTCTCACAAAATTAAAAGGTTAGTGCAATGCGTTATTTCTTGATAAACAAGGTAAGCGGGATGGGAATCTGAGTGTAAAGAAATGAAATTAGAGGGAAAACATATAATTTCACTCGTTTTATAGTTACATATTATTATTACAGTCATCTGAACTGGTTAAAGTAACGCACGACTTGACATTGTAAATCTTAGTAATTGTCAAAAACTATACTCTATCCATTTACTCGATGGATGGAGCATTGTACTTACTCCATAATCTTATCCTTTTTCATACATAAATTGCTCAAAGTAACACTCACATGATTATCTTGTCTAAAACTGTGTTCTACTCATTTAATATTTTGTTTTATTTCATATGCACAATAACTCACTACCGGTTTGCTTTGACTAGCGTACCTAACAACTACTCCTAATTTTTTTGATGTGACACCTTATTTAATGAGGAAAGCAGTTAGTGTCTTGATCTAGACATGATTCTTAGCACTAAACAAGACAATTGATGAATTTTTTTCTCATAAACACACACTAAATGAGAGTTTGTGCATCCCCTCGGCATCCTCCAAATGCATATGAAGCACACTCTATATGCATTATAAGGACCACCCATATGACGACTCTGCTAGAGTCGCCTTAAGGCCGTGTTTGGCAGCTCATAATAGTCCTAAGAATATTATTGTGTTTGGCATCAAGAAATACCATAGTTTATAAACCACAGTATCTCCAATGAGTAGTATCTTCGCGGTATTTTAAAAGGGGCCTTGAGCTCTTTTTCTTCTTCTAAAAATATAACGAGTTTTAGAAACTGGAATACCGGGGTTTTACATTACCATGGTTTTAAAAATCCCTTGCTCTCAAACTAAGCCTAAGATCCAACCTATATAAAAACACTTGTATGCGGATGTATATTTAATGCATATCATACGGCGTAGGAAAACCATTAAAGAAGTTATATCTACACTAAGATACAGGCTAATGAAGATAATATACAAGCTATAGTATCAAAGAAGTTGTATCTACGCTAGATATGTTGCATTTAGACCTCTAGGCTGCGGCGGAGCTTAGCGCAAATCCGAGGGCCGTGCCCAAGGCAAAATAATGAAGAAAAATTACTATGCATAACTTAGATTAGGAAAAAAAATTAATTCTTTGCCCGCCTGGTTGTTCATATTTTCGCTTTGGCCCCCCTGAGATTCTTATCAAGCTCCGCCACTGCCTCTAGGTGTGATGTGAGTGTGAGTTGTGACACACTTCTGAAAAAAAAAACGCCAGCAAATTCCTCAAACTGATTCATTCCCTCAACAACTTTGATAAAAGTCACAAAAACGAGGCCTCTTTTCGCGGATTCGATTCGCGCGCGTGCACACACAAACACACGCGCGCGCGCGCGCACACACACACACACAGACGGAGTATCTTCACATCACAGCGACGTGGCCTTTCTTCCCCCAACTTGCCCTGCCTCGCTCTCTCGGTCCATGCCCCACCCGCGCGGCTATATAACTGGGCCTCTTTTCCTCCCAGCCTCACACCAAAAACCACAGATCAATCTACTAGTACGTCCAAAAGCGCAGTGGAGTGAGTCCTTTTGGTTAGTTTGGACTTTGGAGAGAGGTTGATTCGGTGATGAGGAAGCAGCAGGGTTTAAGCGGCGGCGGCCATGGCGTCGGCGACGGAGATGGGGAGTGGGACAAATGGGTGGACGACTCCTCCGTCGACCACCGCGGCCGCCCGCCCCTCCGCGCCGCCACCGGCTCATGGAAGGCCGCCATGTTCATCATCCGTAAGCTCCCTCCTGATCTCTCTGTCTCTGTCTCTGTTCGTCTGGTTGATGGCAGTGTGTGAACGTTATTGACTTCTTGTTGTGTGGTTTTGGCAGTGATCGAGTTCAGCGAGCGGCTGAGCTACTTCGGCATCGCCACCAGCCTCATGATCTACCTCACCAAGGTGCTGCACCAGGACATGAAGGTCGCCGCCGTGAACTCCCAGTACTGGATGAGCGTCACCACCCTCATGCCCCTCCTCGGCGGCTTCGTCGCCGACGCCTACCTTGGCCGCTTCCGCACCGTGCTCCTCTCCACCGTCGTCTACCTCCTCGGCCTCGTCCTGCTCGCGGTGGCGCAGCTGGCGCCGGGGCTGAGGCCGGGCGGTGTCTCCGTGCCGCGGGTTCACGAGACGCTCTTCTTCGTCGGGATCTACCTCGTGTCCGTCGGCACCGGGGGGCACAAGCCGGCGCTCGAGAGCTTCGGCGCCGACCAGTTCGACGACGGCCACGCCGGCGAGCGGCTGCAGAAGATGTCCTACTTCAACTGGTGGAACTGCGCGCTCTGCTCTGGGGTCCTGCTCGGGGTCACCGTCGTCGTCTATATCCAGGAGCGGATCGGATGGGGCGCCGCCACCGTGCTCCTCGCCGCCGTCATGGGTTGCTCCCTCGTCGTCTACCTCGCGGGGTGGCGGACGTACCGGTACAGGGTGCCGCAGGGCAGTCCCCTCACGCCGTTGCTGCGGGTTGTCGTGGCCGCGGTCATGAAGCGGCGCCTTCAGCTGCCAGCCGACGCCGGCCAGCTGTACGAGGAGGATGACGGCAAGAAGAGGCTGCTCTCCCACACCGACCAGCTCCGGTTTCTCGACAAGGCGGCAATCTTTGAGCATGGTGGCGAGGTCTGGCGCGGGGCGTGGCGTCTGGCGACGGTGACGCAGGTGGAGGAGACGAAGCTGGTGGTGTCGATGGTGCCCATCTGGGTGGCCACGCTCCCGTTCGGCATGGCGGCGGCGCAGGTGTCCACCTTCTTCATCAAGCAGGGCATGGCCATGGACCGCCACCTGGGCCCACACTTCGTGCTCCCGCCGGCGTCCATCTTCGCCCTGGCCGCCATCGCCATGATCGCCACCGTGGCGCTCTTCGACAAGGTGCTCGAGCCGTGCCTGCGCCGCGCGACGGGCGCCGAGCGCGGGATTAGCGTCCTCAGGCGCATCGGCGTCGGCATGGCGTTCGCCGTGGTGGCCATGGCCGTGGCGGCCGTCGTCGAGCGGCGCCGCCTGGACTCCAAGGTCACCATGTCGGTGTTCTGGCTGGTGCCACAGTTCGCGCTGATGGGGGTCGGCGATGGGTTCGCGCTGGTGGGCCTGCAGGAGTACTTCTACGACCAGATGCCGGAGACGATGCGCAGCCTCGGCATCGGGCTGTACCTGAGCGTGATCGGCGCCGGGAGCTTCCTGAGCAGTCAGCTGATCGCGGCGGCGAGCCGCGTGAGCTCGCACGGCGGGCGGCGGGACGGGTGGTTCGGCAAGGACCTGAGCCGGAGCAGGCTGGACCTCTTCTACTGGCTGCTGGCCGCCATCTCCGCCGCTAACCTGGGCTTCTACGTGCTCGTCGCCACCCGGTACTCGTACAAGCAGCAGACCGCGAAGGCCGGCAGGGTCGGCGTCGAGAAGGACGTTGCCGGCGTCAATAGTCCGTACAATCACAAGTGCGTAGCACAGGGGAGCGCTTTTGGTGTATAACATAACAAAGAAGCATCAACACATCGTCAACATTTTAACCACCAGAGGAAGATGGCCAGGCATCAGCAGAGAAGGAAGGAACGTGGTTCCTGGGCACATATGTACCTTATATAGAAAAAAAAAGCAATTCAACAAAAAGTCAAAAATTTCTGAAAATATTTTTGAAATGAACTTGGCCTTTCATTGTTCTAGTGAGAAAAGTTCCACAAAAAGGAAATTCTTCTTTGACTTCTTTTCGAAAAAGACAAATTTTTGGTCAAAATAGCATGAATAGTGATCTATAATAGCAAATAAATTGCCTTTTTTGCTGTGAAGTCAATGTTGGTTTTTTTGTGAAAAATTATATACTAGTGCGCAAGTTAAGTTTAATCTAAAAATAATTTTGAACTATTTTGACTTTTTTAATTATTTTTTAAAAACTACCCCGTATACACTAGTGCAGAACCGAGCAATAGCACCGGTTCGTAAGGCCCTTTAGTGCCGGTTCGGTAACCGGCACTAAAGTGTGGGCACTAAAGGTCCCCCCATTTAGTACCGGTTCAGCACGAACCGGTGCTAAAGGGCAACCACGTGGCACGAGCCAGCTCCGGGGGCAGGGAGCCCTTTAGTACCGGTTGGTGACACCAACCGGTATTAAAAGGTTGGGGGGTTTTGGGTTTATGATTTCTTTTTCATTTAATTTTGTGTTTTCCATTTAATTCTTTTTCGTTTGCTGGTATTTTACGATACTGCATATTGTACACGTTATGCATATATATAAATAGTATTTCTAGTATATATATATATATATATATATATATATATATATATATATATATATATATATATACAATTAACTAGCTATATACAATTTCTCCTAATTGGTGCCTTCGGAGCCAGTGGCATTAGCCTAATTGGTGCCTTCGGAGCACGATAACAATTGAAAGTGGTTCATGGGGCGGTAGCGGGTAAAAGTATTCTGCTTTGGGATCTATGACCTGGTCGAGCAAAAATCCCGCTATTTCCTCTTGAATTGCTTCTATGCGGTCCTCTGGTAGGAGCTTCTCCCGCACCTCTTTGAACTGTTAAGAAGGAGATCAATATGCATGTGTATTAGTTGTGTGACTATATATCGATAATGGTGTAAAAATTGTGAATAGTGTTCTGACAAACGTACCCACTCCTGTCTTTGTGATCTGCTCCTTTCGGACGCCATCATGCGAATGTTCTCGCAAACGTAGTATGCACACAGATTATTCCCCGGCGCCTGCTTCAGGGCCTTTACGAGAATGGAATTTGATCAGATAATAATTAATCAAGCATGATAATTAAAGAGATAGCAGCTAGCTAGTATTACTTAATTACTTACCATGGGTCGATACCATTTCAGTTTGTTTCCATTGACCTGGAGTGACTTTGATGAACTTTGTCCAAGCCCTGCCCGCCGACAAAGAAAATGAATAAATGGGTTATTAAATAGTTGTTATCAGGAAATGACGAACTAATTAAATAGGCCGAGATATAGTTAATAATGATTGAAATTATCTGTTGACTATCCCCTTCACGATGGTGTAGTCAGTTGGTTTCTTAAGTAGCGAGTCTAGTACTTCAACTGTTCCTTCATCAACTTTAATGATTAACAAGATCCAGTGAAATCTGCATGCACACACGTTTGCATGTCTTAATTAAGCGGGCATATGTAAGCAAAAACATATAGCTAGCTAGTATACAAAAACAGAATTTGTAGCACAAGACAGTGTGACTCACTCGAAGTTGTAAGGAAGTAGTATATCATCATTGTATTTGAGGCGTTTGAAGAACTCTAGCATGCTTTCCTCTACACTTTTTTCATAATATGGATCTAATTTCCATGTGTATTCATTAATGATATTTGGGTCAACGAACCCAATGCCATAGCGTCCACCTTTTTTCATTTCATAAATCTTCATCCTGCATAATACCACAGAAAAGAATATAATGAGGATAATTACAGGTAATGATTGATCAAAATGATCACTACAGCTAGTTTGAGACATAAATTACAGAAAGAAATCACTTACAGACAATAGCAACTGATGATAGATTTGTCGAGTGTGTCTTGATTGTATAACTGAAATAGTTCTGAATACTCAATGGACACAGCTTTCTCATGGTAGTAATGATCCTTCTTGACATTCATCATGAGGGACTCTCGATTGGAATTCTTGGTAATGTCCATGTACCATTGATGCAATTCATACATTCTCGTTGGGAGCTTCTTGACCTCGTCTGGCTCGACCAAAGGGCCCCGGACATATTTCCGTTTTATTTCCTCCTCTCTAGTCGGAGACATGGGCTCGATATCGAGGAGTTGTCCAACAGTGATCATGAGGCTTTTAGCCTGCTCAATATGCTCCTCGGTTATTACCACATCGCCCAGCCCGGGAACGTTAACGGTTTGCCCACAATAATATTGGGCGCGCCTACTCTCATGTGTTGTTGGCACAACAAGCGGGGGGGGGGGGTTGATTGCGCCGCCTCTTCTCCCAGTTGGGGAACGGTTTTACCGCATGTTTTGCCAGCTGATTTGCTCGAGCTCAAGCTCGCCTCTTTCTGTAGACGTGCTCGATTTAACTTCCTGAGGTGGCGCTCATAGTCTGTGTCAACAGGCTTGGGAGTTGGTGCTCTAGCCATACGAATGAAGTGGTCAATCTTTTCCTCAGGCACTTTCTCCCTTGGCGGCAGTGGCGGTTTCGGTGCAAAATGGGCTTCCACCTCGGCCTTCGATATGGCTGCTTTTTCCTCCTCGGACTTGTCGTAAGGCCTCTGCGGAAGAGGCGCGAGGCTTGGACCATATTGAAATCGCTTGCCTCCACCTGTACCTCCAGTACTACCTCGATTTGTACCACTACGCACCATAGCTGAGGCGGCTCTCTTCCGTGATTGCTGAGGCGGCGAAGACGGCTGACATGGCTGAGTTGGAGGAGGAGGAGTGGCCTGAAGCTGTGCCGGACTTAGAGGCGGAGTGGCATGACAGTTTGCCGAACTTGGAGGAGGAGGAGTGGCCTGAAGCTTTGCCGGACTTGGAGAAGGAGTGGCCTGACGCGTTGGTGGACTTGGAGGAGCGGGAGTCTGCTGACTCGGTGGCGGACTTTGACGAGGAGTCGGATGACGCGGTGTCGGTGGCCTTTGAAAGATGATGCAATCCTTTCTCCATAGGATGATACGATGGTTGGCCTCTCCAAGTGTGTGCTCCTCGTCACCTCCAGAAATGTCAAGCTCTAGCCCCGAATATTGGTCCACCACCTTATCAACCAAGACACGAGCATAGCCCGATGGAATCGGGTTGCAATGGAAGGTTGCCTCGGGGGGATTTGTAAAAGCAAGGGCGTCTGCCACCTTCATGGATATGTTCTTCATTTTGAAGTGTAGCTCGTAGTTAGTGTTCTCCATGATGTCATCCACTGGGTAGCTATCCAGCAATGCGTCGCCCGGGGCGGAACCCACGCTACTTCTCGGCATAGATGGGACGGTGCTAGCCAATGCTGGATCATCCGCTAGCTGCTGCAGCTGCTGAGACCCCCTTTGCTGGCTAAGTGAGTCGATCTGCTCCTGCTGCCGCTGGAATTTGACTGCAAGTCCGCGTGCACTGATTCTAGGCCTTGAAGGCGTTCATAGTCGAGCTTCCTCTGCTCCTCCTCCATCTTCCTCTTCTTCTCCTCCGCAATCTTCTTTCTCGCACGGGTTCTGTAGTCGGCGTTCCAGTCCAAAAACCCCTCATACCACGGAATAGCGCCCTTGCCTCGTGTTCTTCCCGGGTGTTCAGGATTTCCCAGGGCACGCGTAAGCTCGTCGTTCTCTCTGCTGGGCTGGAACACCCCCCATCGAGCCTCTTCTATTGCAAGAAGTAGCTTATCTTCGGCTCCATCCAGACATGCCTTCTTCGAAACTTTGCCTGTCTTCGGGTCCAACTCCCCCCATGCGCATAAAACCAAGTCCTGCACCTGGGGGGCCAGCTCAATGTTTCTGCAGTGACACCTGCATCCTCCATCTCTTTCTCAGACTTATCCCACTTAGGCATTGCCAGCGCATAGCCACCTGGCCCCAGCTTATGGAACTTATCCTTTTTGCGGCATTGGCCTTGTTTATTCTCGACCGTTCCTTAGATAATTCCGAATCCTTGAATTTCATGAAATCGTCCCAATGAGCACTTTGCTTCTTTAGTGTTCCCTCGAATACTAGAGTCTTCCTTCCTCCCTTGACGTACTTGTCCCATTCACGATTCTTGTGGTTGTTGAATGCAACCGCCATCTTCCTAAGAGCAGCGTTCTTGACTTTCTCCACATCTGCATCTGTGAAATGATCTGGTAGGGTGAAATGTTCCATGAGCGTTTCCCAAAGTAGAAGTTTTTGTCTGTCGTCGACAAAAGTAACTCCTGGACGTGGCTTTGCTGGCTCTCTCCATTCTTGAAGGGAGATCGGGAGTTGGTCCTTCATAAGAACTCCGCACTGACGAATGATTTTGTCCGCAATCTTCTTAGGCGCTAATGGTTCGCCATTAGGTTTGATGGCCTCGATATTGTACTTTACGCCCTCCTTCAACTTTTTGTTCGGGTCTTGTTTCCTGTTGCCTGAAGATTTGCTCGATCCGGATGGCTGAAAGAAGAAAGATCGATTCATTAATATATCTTCAAGTCATTTAAAACATGTGATGATCACCAGATGCCTACTTATATTAATATATATACCTCGCCGGTCTTTGTTGTTTCAAGATCAACATTTTCTTCGTCATGTTCATAGTTCATCACTTCATCAATTCGGTCGTCGCGATCGAATATCATATCACCCTCCCCGGTGTTGTTTATATATTCAGAGCCGTCATAATCTTCTTCATTCTGATCATCATCTGGCCCGCGAGGATTGCGTATGATATTGAACAGGGCCTCTTCTCCCTCTTTGCCGGTATTGTCCGCCATAGGTTGTATTTAACTAATCCAAAAGAAATATATTCAAATTACAATGCATGGATGCAATCAATTAAT